TGTTTTTGGACTTAAAGTTTTTTTGGCTGGCTATGTGAAATACGTTCTTGGACTTCTGCCCTCTTAATTTATTCTTGGCCATTTTCTTTGATATCCGCGTGCAGCTGATCCAGCTCCAGAGCACGCCATCTGCAGGCTCACAGCCCAGGAAGTTCCGGAAAGCAGGAGCCAGTCAAATCGGCTCGCGAGCCATAACCTCGCCCTTCGATCCTATCCCGCCCCATAAGGATTTTTTTTTTTTTTTTTTTTTCTCCTCAAATGCCTTCAGGGCACTTTTGGCTGGCTGGAGGGTTGTGGGGATCGAACTAGAATAAGCTGAGGCTCACAGCTTTGCGGAAGCAGCCACTTAAAGAACTGAGCTAGAGCCAGGCCCCCCCCAATTCTTTTTTTTTTTCCATAATTTTATTGAGAATGAAATAGCAATGAGATTGTTCCCCAATTCTTTTATTTTGAGAAAGTTACTCGGTTGTCCAGGCTGGGCTCAAACCCAGAGTGCCGAAAGTTCAAGTGTGCAGCACTACACCTTTATATTTTATTTGGAGAAAGGGTCTTGCTAAATTGCCCTGACTGACCTCAAAGTTAAAATCCTTCTGCCTCTGCCTCTTGAGTTAGCTGGTATTCATTACAGGCATGTACAAAAGCACCTGGCAAGCTATATAGCTTATGACCTGAGATGTCAACAGCCAGAAGGCCTTGAAGCAGTTACTGTGATGTAAGATCCTGAGTAGCGTGATACGCTGATCTGATGAAACCCTTTTAGGACCTGGCAAATCCTGCTTCACTTGGTTGGTCAATATTTATTTGCTAACTTTGTAGATAAATTTGTTTAGCTGGGCATGGTGATACATATTCTTTAGTCCCAACTATTCAGGAGGCTGAGGCAGGAGTCAGTTGAGCTTGCTAGTTTGGGACTAAGACCCCATCTCAAATACAAAATAGAGGGCCGGGGAGATGGCTCAGTGGAATAAGCGCTTCCCTGGCAAGCACAAGGGCCTGAGTTCAATCCCCGGTTCCACCAAAAAATAAAAATAAAAATAAAAACAAATCAAATACAAAATAGTTTTTGTTTTTTTTTTGTTTGTTTGTTTGTTTGTTTTTTTTTGCGGAACCGGGTATTGAACTCAGGCCCTTGCGCTTGTCAGGCAAGCGTTTATTCTACTGAGCCATCTCCCTGGCCCCCAAAATAGAGTTTTATTTTTGGTTGACACTGGGGAGATTGTTTATAGAAAAATAAAAAAGAAACACGTTTTTGGGTTTTTTTGTCTTTTTTGAGACAGGGTCTTGCTGTGCTGTTCAGACTGCCCTTGAGCTCACCTTGTAGCCCAGGCTGGTCTCCAACGCAAAACAACAATCCTTCTGCCTCAGCCTCCAGTGCTGGGATTATAGGTGTGTGCCACCACACCTGGCTTTTTTAATTGTTGTTTTGTGTGTGGTTCTGGGGATTAAACCCAGGACCTTTACACTGAATTATAATTCCACGTCTTTTTTGGCCTGAAACACAGGGGCATTCTACCACAGATCTACAGTCCTAGCCCTGTTTATTTATTTATTATTTTTTGGCAGAACCAAGGATTGAACTCAGGCCCTTGCGCTTGCCAGGAAAGCACTTATTCTACTGAGCCATTTCCCCGGCCCTATCCCTTTTTAGATGGTCTTGCTGAATAGCTAAATTGCCCAGGCTTCAGACTGGGCTTGAATTTGGATTCTCCTGCCTTAACTTTCCCAGAATACTGGGATTATAGGCATGTCCTACCAATTTATAAAACTATATATTAGCTTGGTATCATGGTGCACACCTGCAGTCCCAGCACTCTCTGAGAGGCTGTAGCAGGAAGATGACAAGTATGAGCCCAGCCAAAGTGACTTAGCAAGGTCCTATCTCAATTTTTTTTTTTTTTTTTTTGCAGAACTGGGGATTGAACTCAGACCCTGTTGCTTGCCAGGGAAGCGCTTATTCTACTGAGCCATCTCCCCAGCCCCAAAATAATTCATACGTTGTCATGAGACTGATCCAGTTTTACTTTTTTTTTTCTTTCTTTCTTTTTTTTTTTTTGCGGTACCAGGGATTGAACTTCTTTCTCAAATTTTTAAAAAGGGGGGCTGTTGAGATGGCTCAGTGGTCTAAAGCACCTACTTAGAAC